AAATCATATTTTAGATGCTTCAGGCCTACATTTTCCTCAGATCCATGTGTAAAAAATTAGGACCTTGAAGCAAATTGTAATCGATGGATGGCTCCAAAAGCACCAGTCCAATGCTAGAGCTGTAAAGCGAGTGAGCAAAACTAATCTAGGAATGGGCTGAGGCACCGGACATATGCCAGATATTAGTTTGGGGGCTCGGTTGGAACGAACGGACTACCCATTTTCGAACGGAAAACGGATGCGTGGAGCGGCACCTTTCCCGGATCAATGATCTAGAACGGAAACTCAGTTACGGCTACCCCGTCAGCTGTCTGATGCGGGCTAGTGGACTATTGTCTTGGCCGTTGTTCGGCGAGCTTATAAACGCTGGAACTGGAACTGGACTTGTTACACTGGACAACGATCCAATGTACTAAGAGGAGTGAGACTCTCTACAAGACTGACTTGGACTCGATTCCAATCTCATCCAGTTCCATCCACCGAACAAGCCTCATGGTAATTGAACTTACATTTCACGAAACATAAAACCCCAAATATCATACATAAATCACTAATATTCGAAACATACATAACTCATGAGCATTTCAAATATTCAATCATATGTCCTGTTAAGTTACTCCATACTCATATAGACATGTCAGTTACTAGTCAACCAACTACATGTGACAATACAAGATCACTCTCACTTCCCTCCAATTGGTTTCTCTATTCTAAAGGTTCTGCATCCTCACACCGGCGTCTCTGCTGTAGGGAGCCGGGGATTCGTTAGCCCTGGAATAGCTAACATAGTAAAGCTCCGAGAATATGCCTGTGAGGACGACAAATGCAGCCCCAGCTCCGAAGATTCCTTTCCTCAATGTCTCACATGAAGGGTCTTCCATAAACGAAGCCCTGTACTTTGTGTGGTATGCATTTCTCACTGAACCCGCGAGAAGGCATGCCTCAGCAATGACAAAAAGCACCCTGAAGTTTTGAAATATAAGAATAGCATATATCTTTCGACAACACATGATATTGACCTTATATAATCAACCAGTGTTAACAACTATAATATCTGAGAATGCCCGGATTATATGAGGAGCACATACCAGCTGGTAACGAAGAGCATAATTGCCCACGACCGAGAACCGCTGGGTCTCAAAGCCCTTCCACAGCACAAACATCGACTTGCCACCATTATCAGAGCTTGACTTGCCAATAAGAACAGAAACGATCCCACACCTAAGCCAGTTGCAATGTCAGAATCATATACACAATAGCTCGAATCTGCTTCGGTTTGAATCTTGGCCTGCAAGGGAGAGATACTAGATAAAGTAACATGTGCATCATTTCGACTGAAATTGCCCGACAGGTCAACTAACAATGTGTCTAATTGTAGAAGAAACCGCTGATTCTAATAACTTAAGCTATTAGTGTGTGTTCCTCCTCGTTCCAGTTAACGTCAAATTCAAAAATTAGAAATGGAACTGTCCCTGCGATTCGTGTAGAACGTCAGTGACACACACACCTCTCCCCTTTACTTCGGCTTTTGAGATTTTTAATATCAAGAATTTGAGGGTGAATCTCAAGTCTCAACTCAAAATTCCTACCAGACAGGTTTACCTCTCTCATCTTGCTTGATCTATCAGTGTTATGTTGATTAACAATCTTGAAAATTTGTTGCCTCTCCCAGCAAAATTGACATGTAATAAATCTGATAAACCCTACTTTTGTATTCTAACAATGGTTTATTAGCATACAAAATATTGAACAAATATAAATACGCCCTACGGTTTGGACTTTTTCGTTTGAGAAACGCCAAAAATTAAACCAACGGTCTAATAAAAAACTAAAGGATGGTGCTACCTACACACCCTTCTTACATTTCACACGCCGCTTCTAATTTTCGATCGTCGGATTGAAGAAGATAAAATGACAGAAATTAACAAGAGGTGAGTGAGTGAGAGGTAGAAATTGATGGGTTAATAGCACCATCCAAACTAAATAGCCATTCAAAGGCAGTATTATTGGTTTAATCTCCACAGAAAAATTATGTCCTCACCAATAATTAAATAAAATTTACACACTGATTTATGGATTTTTGTAAGGTTTTCTAAATCCTTTATAAATCTAATCAATCCTTATTTTGCTTTAAAAACTCTGTTTCATATTTCCCACTATTTTTTTTTAAATAGCAATAAATCGACTATTTCTGTCTGAATGCAAAATTAAAGTATATATTGCTGTAATCAATCTCTAATTCTGAAAAAAAAATGGTGGAACATATATATAAATAAAAAAGATCAAAACTTGAAGAACTCTAAGTTAAGAATCATATGATATTAGTCCTCCCAAGAAAGAAGAGAAAGACACACACACTTACAGTGGACCTTCGCTGCTCAGCGGCAACAGCGAGCGCAAAAGCAACCAGATCGACACAAAAACGACAACTAAAAGCAGCGTTGAAGCCATCCCACAAAACCTCTTTCTCTCGAACTCGAATTTCGTCAAAAACCCCAGCACAAATCGCAGAGACAGACAGACAGACAGACACGAAAAAGAAGATAAAAGCGTTTGCAGTTGGACAAGGGTTGTACGATCCACCGTAAAACCAATTGGTAACATAGGGAGTGGTCTAAGATCATATAAGCACATAGCAAACCGTATTCCTCACCAATGTGGGACAACTCTCAATATGCCCCCGCACGTGTAGCGGATTTTCAAGCCTACACGTGGACAACAACCGGGTGACGTTCAAGCCTACACATGGACAACAACCGGGTGACGTGGAGCACGTATGGACAACAACCGGGTGACGTGGAGCGCGTGTGACCGTTTGGCTTCGCACGAGGATAACCCGTTCTGATACCATGATGAAATTGAGGTTCCACCATAAAACTAATTGGCAATATAGGGAGTAGCCCAAGACCATATAAACACATAACAAACCGTGTCCCTCACCAATGTGGGACAATTCTCAACAGTCTACTCTCCTTATTTCCGTGCCCTTTTGTGCTCTCTTGTTTTATGTAATCATAATTAAACCACGTCAACATTTTATATTGTTATTTTATAGAGATAATAAGATAAAAATAAATTGTAATATAAAATGTTGACGTGATTTAACCGTGACCATACAAACAGGAAGGCATGGAAAAACACGGGAATAAGAAGGGCAGACAATCCTTATCCTTTGCAGTTACAATCAAACAGATTAAATAACGTTGTTGCAAATCAAGAGTCGATACCCACTCGCACAAAAGGCACGCGCTTCTCTATGTAAAAGTTAAAAGGAAAATTAATGAAAAATTGTTTGAAAACTTTAAGTTTTAACAATAAAGATAAAATAAACGGTAAAGCGAATAGTATCATGATTGATTTTTTAGTGTAAAAATATGATTTTTCGTTAAAGTGAACAATATAGAAGCTTTTCGTTAAAGTTCCCAAAGTTAAAAGCACCTAACTTTTTTTTTGACCTTTCTCTTTTCTTTTTTTTCAATGGTGCTAACAGGGATCAGGATCCTTTCCTAAGCAAAATGTGAGGATCCTCTTGATCAAGCTCATCGGGCTGTTGAAATTTTATCCAACGGTTACAATTATTATAACTTTTAGAGGGGCTCCTGTTTGTAACCGTTGGATAAAATTTCAACGTCCCGATGAGCTTGGTCAGGAGGATCCTCACATTTTGCTCAGGAGAGGATCCTGATCCGTGTTATCTAAACGTTAGCTCTCGATTCTTGATCATCAAATTGAACAAATTGAACAAACTGAAAAAAATTTATTGACAAAAGATTAATAAAAATGTGAAAAGTAAAATTAAAATGATGAATAACACTTTCCTTCTTTTATATTTTTTAAGTGTGACTTTATCTTTCTCTTTTAAACTTTTATTTATTTACTTCATGGTGAAGAGAACATGAAAAAGGTGAAAAGGAGAAAAGGAGCTCAAATATTATTAACAAAACCAAAATTAATAACCTTCGCCACTCCCGAGCAAATAAAGGGGATTTGGACTCTCTTACAAAGGTGAAACTTTTGCATCCGGCTACTCAAAGTTTAGTTGATAATGCATCGATATCAATATCCTTAGTTAATAAGAAATTGACATGCTGTTAAAATAATATAATTTATGATTTTCTGATTAGTGAATTGTGCTTTTACAATTTGACATTAGCTTTGAGTTTGGATGGCGAGTTAAAACGTTGTTGTACTTGGCAATCTTGCTAGTTTGACCAAAAATGCAAAATAAAAAACGTTTTTTAACGAAAAGTTCCCGGTACTGTTCACTGTAATAAAAAATCACATTTTTACATTAAAAAGTCAATTATGATACTATTCACTTTACCCTTTATTTTGTCCTGATCGTTAAAACTCAAAGTTTTCAAACTATTTTCATTAGTTTTTCTAAATAAAAAAGGTTTTGTTGCCAAGTTTATCACGAAATCCTTGTCATGCTTAACAGTAAATTGTAGGACCGGGGAGCAAGGTTTTTATTTTTTTTAATATATTTTTTTATATAAGTAGTTATATCTAAACACTTATTTTTACTTTTCGCATATCTTCTAAATTTACAGTCATCAAACTGAATGAATTGAAAATGATAAATGAAAAAAAATTACAAAGGTGTATAGAAGGTAAAAAAAAATAGTGTGAATAGCACTATCCTTTTTTTTATAAGTGATGTGCTGGTCCATTTGGTTGCTAGCTGAATCTCTTTGGACATTTACTTTTACCATGAAGTCAATTGTAATGGAAACTATCTGTTAACGTTTACTAGTTCTAAAAAATCAACAAGTTACAAGAGTACTGGCAAAGACCCTTAATTGCGTTGATAGTTATCCTAATGTCATGGATTAAATCATTATCATTGCAACTTCGTCTTGATTGTAGATGGTTTCTTATACAATTGAAAAACCTTATTATTGGCTGATATTGCCATAAGATGATGCTGATACATTTCAATATACACATAAATATTTTTCACAATATATATATATATAAGACGAACATTAGAAAGTGAGTAGATAAATCAAATATTTGCATTTTTAGTTCATTTGTCAAGCTTCATCCTCAATTAATCAATTCCATATGTTACATAAGATCTTTGATTTCTAGTCCTAAAAAAAAAAAAGTAAAATAAGGTGACCATCTTGTATGCCTTGGCACCAAAGTAACCACCAGACTGTTATCATCTTCAGCTCATCGTACAACAAGTCCGTTATCTCTATCCGCAAACTACTTTCTTTTCATAGCATTTCTTTGTTAATTTTATCATAAATTAAGAGATTGCGCATAGAGATCACGGACTTGTTGGAGGATGAATTGAATACAATAACAGTCGGGTGGTGACTTTGGTGCCAAGGTATGAAAAATGGCCGGCCCGGCTTTGTTTATGCATAGCCTGCATATAACTAACAAAAGAAACGAGATCGAAGTAGTAGCATGAGGTCAAGGACAAAGGGACTTGTTGGAGGACTTCGAAGCTGAAGGTGAGAAAGGTAGCACTCTGGTGATGAATTTGGTGCCAATTATGGATGCCATAAACTCATGCAGATTCATGTAGATCGAAGAGTAAAGATGAACTCACTCCATAAGAATGGATTGGATCGCCTCCAATTCCTGACAACAAATGCTCAAATTAACAAATGCGACGGCAATAGTTTCATATATAATCAAAAAAGAAGAATCAAATGACGGAAACAAAAAAGTGCATAAAGAGAAAACGGGAGTGCGAACTTTTCTCCTATGCACTCCTCTCCTTTTTTCTAGAAATTGAATTGAGTAAATCAAACGAGGATCGAATCGCGTGAAGATTGAAAAAACGAGAGGGTGAAAAGAGAGAGACTGCAATAACTTACTTGAAGTTGAAGTAGAGGAGCGCCTGTGTGATTCTCCTGTAAAACTGCCAGATTTCTGCTGCAATGATCCATATCTGATGTTCCATATACACACACGTATATATATTTAATATATTTCTGAATCAGATAGGCAAGGTTGTGGAGTACTGGAATTTAGTACAGGTACATGTAAGATGTAGTACAAATTGTCGTGCAGTGCAATGTAGTACGAGTGAGAAAATAAAAGAACAAATGGCAACAAATGAAATGGCGTTTGCATCAAAGATTCAACAAACCGAATACTTTCCACAGAAGAGTTGGGGCAGCATAACTTTGATGAAACATAATCATGTTAAAAATGAATTAGGATTCTCTCTCATCCTCTTTCCGTCCACTCCTCTTATATTCTAAAATTTATCTTTCTCTGTTTATAAAAAAATAATATAAGATGTTGACGTGGTTTAACCGTAATCGTTTAAATAGGAACGGAAAGAAGAGGAGGAAAAAAAAAACAAAGGAAAGAGAATCATATTCCGTTAAAAATTTGGGGCAGCTCAAACTTTTTATATCTGCCCAATTTGCTGGTATGAGTTAGGGTCCGTTTATATATATATATATATAACAATTTTTTGTTTACAGTTAAAAGTGCTTATTTAGAAAAGACCCACGGGAAATATTTAATGTGCTTAAAATTTAAGATCACTTTTAGATTTCGTCCTAAAGACGGCTAGAATATGCTTTTAATTGCTAAAAAAGTAGTTCAGTGATTAAGCAATTTAGAGTATGCAAGTTTTTACTAAAAAAAAAAAAAACTATAGCCTAAAGAAGTAGAAATACTCTGGTATAGTCGTACGCGTAACTTTACTCGTCCATTAAATATATATACGAGGATGATGATCCACCAAATTGGGCTCATGTAAGACTCGAATGCAAGAGGCCACCGTTACATTTCTTAAGTGAACATATTAACATAAAGAGTGCTGTACACAAGGTAAATGAATCATTGAAGTAGGTGTGATTTTGACAAGTGTAGGCCCTGTTAACAAAAGTCTTGTCCTTATCTTGACTAAAGCATAGTAACATAGAACGTGTGGCTGCAAATGTAATTAGTCATCACTCCAAATGACGTAAATTGTTCATACATACCCCTTTCCACCAAATCAATCTAGTCTGAAGGTTACAAATAAAAAATCTTTTAAAAGTTATAATAATTGTAGTTATTTGATCAATATTCAATAATTCTGATCTCGAACTAGATGGATTTGATAGGAAGGAGTTTTAACGAAAAGTCCGCGGTACTGTTCATTTTAACGAAAAATCATATTTTTACACTAATAAATCAAACCTGGTATTATTTATTTTACCCTTTATTTTGTCATTATCATTAAAACTCAAAGTTTCCAAAATAGTTTTCATTAGTTTCATTTTCATTAGTTTTCTTTTATAGAAAGGGATCCGGATACATAGCTCTTTACAAAATGGAAACAAAGTTGTGGCTTCTCCTCCACCACTATATCCTCCAACACCATGATTACCACCTACTCCACCGCCCCTTCAATCCCTCACATCTTCCCAAACAAATCCCAGATTTCCTTAGTCAGAAATCTTAGAGGTTCATGTAAAGCAACAACAATCAATAGTGACCAAAACCCTAATCGTGATCCGCAAATTTGTCTAGTAAAATTGGATAGGAGAAATCTTTTTCCTTGGTCTAGGAGGACTTGCCTTGGCGACTAATAACAAAACAGGGCCAGCAAATGCGGCAGAGGCGTGAAAGAAGGTAGTGAAATGTCTTAAGAACAGAATGTCAAACATTTTTCATGTTTCTCTAGCCTATTTTGTTGTATTATTTAACATTGTTTTTCTCATGGGCATAAATTAAATTGCATATTTTTAGTTTGTTGAATTATGTGTGTGATTAAAATATAGCAATTATGCACTATATTTGTTTAGGTAGTTTTGGTTGAGAGTAGTAAGTTGCCAATAGCTTTGGACTCGGTGGTGAGTGTGATCGTGCCGCGGCCGAGGAGGTCGAGGAGCAAGAAGGACAAGGAGGAGGAAGAGGAGGTGTTGGTGATTGAAGGGATTGAGTTTCTGGCGGATAAGACTCTCTAGTTCGACGTGCATGTGAACGATGACGAGGACTTGCTGAGCCCACCCGACATGTCCGAGTTTGCAGGGAGCTTGGTGTATTTGCCACAGTTCCAGAAGAAGGTTAAAACCAGCCTGCATCTTGGGATTACGGACTTGTTGGAGGACTTGGGAGCTGACGACGATGGCAGTATTATGGTAACTTTGGTGCCAAGGAATGTCCAGCGGCCTGTCACCATTGGTCGGGTCAAGATCGACTATTTTGCCTAGATAATTAAGAGCGTACATGATAAATCATGGGGTCGTTTTTTGTTTTTTATTTTTATAATTTCCGTTCCAACTTTTCAAACAGTTTGTGTGTAACTGAGCACGGATTGAATACATCTTGATTTGTTGATATATAGGTAAACATGAGTATTCATTATGCCAATAATTTTCTTGCTTCACTTGTAAATTATTGTAAATTATTCGTGTTAGTAATACAACGTTGTGGAAGATGATCATCAAGGATCAAAATACAATAGTATACCTACATATCGATCATCCAGATTCAGAATTTCATACCAAGTAGCCATGATGACTGCCGGCTGAACTACCTTTTACATCGTGCGGCCTCCTCTTTTGCTCTTCTCCACCTGTTATAGTACGAGTACTAGCAGTACTGCTAAACACGCCACTCTTGAATAATTTGTCCGCATGGAAGTTGTACCTTGTTCTCATCAACAAATCTGCTGCTGTGCTTTGCTTGTTGTCCACTTTCGTGTCTTCGTCATTGGCTTTCCTCTTCTTACCTGCTCCCGCAACATGATTTGAAGTACTGGAGCCTGATTTGAGTCTAGTAACTGGTGTCGGCCACCATGGAAGCATGTATGGGAAGACAGCCATCATGGAGTTACCAATTGCAGCATAATTAACCGGAGTGATCCTACTAGTCTTCCTTGCCTTTCTTGCACGAATGTTGCACATGACAATGTGTGCACTGAGTTCTAGATACAAGATATCTTCATTATTTGGGTCGAAAGCAAGCAACCCTACTTTGTTGATCAATGCATTTCGCATAACCATTCTGGATACCGAAGCGCTGCCTGCCAAACACCATTTGCCTGCACAGTTGTCAACCTGATCATCATCTTTCAACTCCCAAACACTCAGATCATTCGCCCAATTCTGAGCTAACTGGCACATTCGCAGACACGCACCTCATCTAGCTTTGTTACACACACCTAGGAATTCAAATCTTGTAGCTGTGTGAGTGAACTGATCATGTTTCGGCATATCAATGAAGCGACAATTGACATTCGTATCACCAGTGCTATTACTAGTGATGCTTGCTGTGTTATTACTAATGGAGTTGGGATCCAGCCCCATATATGTCCATCGTACATGCTTCCCCGGTACAACTTTCCTCTGTAAGCAACCCCTGCTTCGAAAGTCAAGCTATCAAAACAAAAGCTTCATGCTTGTCCATTTACGAGTTCAGAAGAGAAGATCTCTGCTTTGAACTGGAAGGAGTCTTATAAAAATTCAGAAAAAAATCCGCAGAACCCTGTGCCTAGACTCAACATCAAACTGGAATAATGTTTAACTACCGCTACTACCACCACTTTCTTCTTTTATTCGGCTTGTCATCTTCCTTGCATTCCTTATTTTCACAGACGAATCCTACACATATTTCCTTGTGACACTGAGGAGGGGGAGGAAGAGCATCCCACAGCTTAGCGTATGGATCGCAAATGTATATAGCAATCACATTGACGAAACATGTTGCGCAACATAAAACAAAGTCATAATATACTCCTACCACAACTGGTTCATAATCTTGTGACTTGACAGGACCTTGATAACAAGGGAGGAAGCTCAAAGAGAAGTTGCATGCTTTGGGGGCCAGAGGTTGCTCGGACAAGGAAATGAATTTCCCCGTGTTCATTGGATCCATGAACACTAGACTAGAGTAGCACGTAGAATGTGATTTTCATCATCACTTATGAGACGCAGAAAACGATCAATAAAAAAAAAATTAGAAATGAGACCGTTAAAATGACATTTAAGTCACTGATCTGATCATTCGCTAAAATATGAGAAAAGACTAGAAACTTAGGCAACAGATAATGGGCTAGAAGTTGCCACAAGAAAGTTTGAAATTATGTTGGGAAGCAGCACACAATCATGTAAAAAGAAGTCGCCCCTTCGTCCTTGCAAGCTAAGTAATCTTTGTTTCCCTTTCTGTTAACGTTACCGACACCAACTAGTCAAACATTTCCGGTAGGCGAGACAAATTAAGTATTAAAACCAAGCCTTCTGCCAGGGCTTCCCCTTAACTGCTCCTGCATTCCACCTCAATTCCTAACCGATCAACTTCTTCAATCCCTCCCATCTCTCTAGGAATTTTTTCATTATAACCAAAACACGGATGATACATAAAGTGTTTTATATAAGTAGTGAGAAATTTTATTTTCTAAGTTATTATCTTTTTAACATACATATCTCACAATTTGTATAATAACACATCGTGTATTACTTCGTGTTCCGTCACACTAAAAAAATCTCTGCATCCCTTAAATTTCCTTAAGTTTATCACACGTTACTTACATGCTTAACTCACATGTGTCACGTTATTAATTAATACTAACACGCATTAAAGAGTCAGAAGTAACCCAAAGTTGTTGAGCCTAGAAAAAGGTGGCGGTGAAGGCTTACGTTGCTTCCTGCTGTGGTATTTGGTGAGTGTTCTCGCTCACACTCAATAACAAAATGAGAGAGCTAGAAACCTAAAAGCAACAAATAAGTGGTTCAGAAGTTGCCACTCGCCACAAAACAAGAGATTATTTCATTCCATACATAAAAATTTAATTACGAAGAAGTGGTAGGATCAGTCGCACATGTGCGTATTATTAAAGTGATTTCAACCATTATAAACTTACAAGTTCCATGTAAATAGTCAGAATTAGCCCCCTCATAAAGATGTTGATTTTAGTTGCTTATAATTTATGGATTTCACAAGAATAAATGATTACAATAACATAATTGACTTACTTCTTATGTTTATGATTTGTGCGTCTTATAAGTATGAATAATTTCACGAACATAGAAAGTTGAAAATCAATATACATACATATGCACAAATAAACGTATAATTTCACTACATTATGTGCACGCAAAGTTCCAATGAATTATTTTTAAAATATCTGCAGTT